TTTTGAAAATGTTCCGGAAGGTCTGACACTTTTATATATATCTTAAATTAAAGCTAATGTAATATACTTTATTATGAAAATAAAAAAATTACGTACTTTATTTTGTCTTCATGGTGAAAACGGACATCAAAGTTAATAAAAAAATACGATTTTTGTAAAAAAATTCTTTTTTATATATTTAACTTTATAAAGCTATAACTTATTGAAAAGTGTATGGAGCAATACAATTTTTTTACGAGAAATTATTGGCTTCGATGCGAAGCTGAGANTTTTTACGAGAAATTATTGTTTATAATATTTCTGTCCATTTTTGATTCAACATACTTAATTTTAATCAGGATATAAATAAGGAATAGCAGATCATGCAGCTTTTGGAATAGTTCACCAATTTTTTAAAATTAAACACTATCTAAAGATTTGCATCGAAGCGTTTTTTATGATAGTGATTTTAATCACTGTCAAATATATACTTGATCCAACTATGCCACGTCACCACTATGCCGTGACTTTTTTATGTATATAAAGAAATCAACGAAATATACTTGAAGAGTGAATGTGTCAAACGATCTATGTGCCAAAAAAATATTTGTTCAGAAAACACAAAAAACATCACAAATTAAAAGTTTTCTTATAATTTGGTATAAAAATATATGTTATGCTATATTTACACTATATTAATAGCCTCGTAAATTTCTATTATTTTATTTTGTCATTTCATATTAGTATAAATTAAACATTTGCTAATGACAGTTCCAAGTGCCAAGTATTATAATATTAAAGTTCCAAGTTCCAAATAATGTGATAATATTATCGTTCCAAGGACCAACATTTTATTATAGATAACAGAAAATCATTCTTTATTTTATTAAGACTTCATATATATTTTTATAAAATATGTAAAAAAATCAACACTTTTTTTGAGTATCACAAATTGAAAAATAAATGTACAAACTTAAATAAAAAATACTCTTAATCTAACATGACATTGTCAGTAAATCTCAAAACGTAAAATAAAATTTTTTCTTCATATAAAAATGTAACAAGAAAAGAAAACAGTAGCTTTCTTGAGTATCACAAATTGAAAAATAAATTAACAAACCTAATAATAATTTAAAAAAAAATCTAGATTAAACATAATTAGAACATAGCAACATCATAATAAATAGCAAAAAAAATTAATTCATGACGTTATATTTTTATAGAAGTTTCTGTGCTTATCAGGTAAAAAAGGAATCATGGCCAACAAATCTTTTTTCTTCTCTGACGATAATGTGGGTTTCGGTATAGGTATAAACGTTTGATTTTTAAGTTGGTCTACAGTAGCATTTCTTTTAAAAACGTTAAAATCTTTCCAAAGTTCTTCATCTGAAAATGTTTTTTTATAATAGATTTTTTTGGGAGTTAGAGATAAAACTTTAATCATCGAACATGTAGAAATTGGAAACTTGGTTGCGTTAAGACAATTGTTAGCAATGTCTTTAAATGAGAAAAAGTTGTTTTCATCCATCGGAATAACTCGAAATGGATTTGTCAACTTCGCTGCTCTAACCATTTCTTGTAAATCAGAAGGAGTGAAATTTTGAAAAACTCTACGTCTCTTTTCGATAATAGCGAAATCACGATCACAAGCCAAGAAAGAGTGTTTATCAAAAATGTTTGTATAATCTCATCAAATATCCTCATATTTATTAAATATAACATCAAAACTACTAACGTTTTATTTTTATTTTGCTCAGTACAGTTGTCTGACCATATAATTAGTTTTTTGCGATTTATCATATTTTCGTTTTTGTTAATAACTTGAAAAAGACAAGAAGCGATTTCTGAGCTTCCACGAGAAGCAATACTTTCATCCCACATACACATAAAGGCTGTATTGCTGTCACCGAGATGTATTCCAAAGTTATAACAACTAAGTTGACGCTTTCCTGAATTGTATTATTGCTTTTCCTGGTCGCATACGATTTTCCACTAATTCTTTTTTTAGTCTGATCATTTCTTCTTTTTTTACCACTTCGTAAAATATGTATACTTTCAGTATCCATAATAACACAATTAAACATGTTAATGAAAAAGAAAACTTAACGAACACATTAACACCAGTATTATTTTGAAATATAACGTACTATATCATAATATTGTTATCATCAAACTATTATATTCGCCCAAGGTACTTAGAACGTACAGGTAACAATGGGCATGTCTCACAAAACAAATACAATCTATGAACGCAATTTTGTACAAGTAAAAAATTTAATTGACACTTGAAACACATACAAGATTGTGACCTTTGGCTCATAGAACATAAATCAGAAATAAAACAATTTTTCAATTTTTTGGCACATAGAACGTTTGACACATTCACTCTTCATTTATTGTATTCTTATGTTCATTGTGTGGTCGACTGATATGAATGATAAAAAGATGAATCCTCTTATCAGCATAGCAGTCGACACACATGATATAGTTAGTGTATTACAAATTACTTATTTTTTGCAATTCTTAATTAATATTATAATTATTATTGTGGTTGCTATTTAGTGAAGTAAAAACTTCTATTCTTGTTTTATTTACATTTCTGGTAATGCTTTTCTTTTATTTGTTAATGTATAAAAAAATAAAATATAACTTTACATTTCAGTACAGAAACGTAACTTGGGTTTTTATTAAAAAAAGGAATTAATAAACAGGATTATAAAGATCATTATATGTATTTAAAAATATAAAATATAATGTATAACACAAAATCCATACATTTTTCCTACTTCTGTGGTGTTTTAACTATAATTGTTAAAACCAAAACTACTATTATGAAAAATACTATTATGATTAAAGTTAGTTCATATACTAGACTGATGACATTTTTAACTTAATCAAAAAATTAATAGAAAAAAAAGTTAATATGATATGGAACATTTAAGTAAGTCTTAGGAAAAGCGTATTAAATAAGTAAAATGTCAAACAAAATAAATACGATTAATGGTTAAGATAATATATTTAAAATATAATATAGCTAACTTAAATGAATACACAACTAAAAATATGTACGTATATAAAATAAAAATAATTATATATTATTAAAATAATTTAAATTACAGAAACCTAAATTTGACAGCCATTTTCTATAGCATAGTTCAATATATAAGAATAATCATTTCGAATGGCTTCTTCCATAGTATTTCTACTCCATGGACAATTATTTTCATGAGCATATTTTAAGCAAATAAATTGACCATTTGTAGCACAAAGCCTAGTTGTGCTTTCGTCCCACTCACATCCATTTTCATGAGCATATTTTAAGCAGTCGAAATGACCATTTGCAGCAGCTCCACTCTTTGTCCCTTCATCCCATTTATAACCATTTTCATTTGCAAATATCAAACAGTTAATACAACCACTTGCAGCAGCTTCCCTTGTTGTGCCTTCGTCCCATTCACAACCATTTTCACAAGCATATTTTAGGCAGTCTGAATGTTGATTTGCAGCAGCCACTCTCGTCGTACCTTCAACCCAACTACAACCATGCTCATGAGCATATTTTAAACAGTCTGAATTGCCAAACATAGCAGCTGAAACTATAGTAACATCATCCCATTTGCAGCCATTTTCATGAGCATATTTTAAACATTCTAAATGATCATTCTCAGCAGCAACTTTTGTTGTATTATCAGCCCATGGACAACCATTTTCATGTGCATATTTTAAACATTCTAAATGCCCATTCGCAGCAGCAATTCTGGTTGTATCTTCATGCCACTCACATCCATTCTCGTGTGCATATTTTAAATATACCAAATGGCCATTTTCAACTGCATCTTTTATTGATTGCTTATCCCATTTACATCCATTTACAGTAGCATACATTAAGCATTCCATATTATCGAAAAATACAGCTGCTATAGTTGTAGTTTCATCCCATGGACAACCATTTTCATGTGCATATTTTAAACATCCTAAATACCCATTTGCAGCAGCAACTCGTGTTGTATTTTCATCCCACGGACATCCATTTTCGTGGGCATATTTTAAACATTCTAAAGAATTGTTATTAGTAGCTAATCTTGGTGTATATTCATCCCATTCGCATCCTTTTTCGTGTGCGTATATTAAACATTCTAAATGTCCGCCATTAGCAGCAGCTCTTGTTGTTTTGTCATCCCATGGACATCCATTTTCATGTGCATATTTTAAACATTCTAAATTCCCATTTGCAGCAGCAATTCTTGTTGTATCTTCATAAAATCCACATCCATTTTCGTATCCTAATTTTAGATATTCAAAATTGTTATTTTCAACAGCACCCTTCATTATTACTGTATCGCATTTACAACCATTTTCAAGAGCATATTTTAAACAATCTAAATTCCCATTTTCAGAAGCAACACTTGTTGTATTTTTATCCCATGGACAACCTTTTTCATGTGCATATTTTAAGCATTTTAAGTGACCATATTCAGCAGCTGCTTCTGTTGTTGTATTATCCCATGGACATTCATTTTCATAAGCATACATTAAGCAGTCTAAACAGCCGCTTGCTGCAGCAGCTCTAGTTGTAGATTCATCCCAATTACAACCATTTTTGTGTGCATATATTAAACATTCTAATTCTCCATTTGTAGCAGCGTAAATAGTTGTGGCTTCATGCCATTTACAACCATTTTCATGAGCATATTTTAAGCAATCTAAATGCCCTTTTGAAGCTGCAATGCTTGTTGTGTTTTCATCCCATTCACATCCATTTTCGTGTGCATATTTTAAATATTCTAAATTTCCATTTTTAGCTGCATGATTTGTGATTGATTTATCCCACTTGCATCCTTTGACATTAGCGTATATTAAGCATTCCATGTTACCAAAATATGCAGCTGCTATCGTTGTACTTTCATCCCATGGACAACCATTTTCATGAGCATATATTAAACATTCTAAATGACCACTTGCAGCAGCAGCTTGTGTTGTATCTTCATCCCATGGACATCCATTTTCATGTGCATATTTTAAACATTCTAAATGACCACTTGCAGCAGAAACTTGTGTTGTATATTCATCCCATGGACATCCATTTTCGTGTGCATATTTTAAACATTCTAATTCTCCATTTTTAGCAGCAGCCTTTGTTGTATAGTTATCCCATGGACATCCATTTTCGTGTGCATATATTAAACATTCTAATTCTCCATTTGTAGCAGCGTAAATTGTTGTGTATTCATGCCATTTACAGCCATTTTCATGAGCGTACTTTAAGCATTCTAAATGTCCATATGCAGCAGCAATTCTGGTTGTATCTTCATGCCAATCACATCCATTCTCGTATGCATATTCTAAAAATCCCAAATGGCCAATTTCAACAGCATCCTTTATTGATTGCTTATCCAATTTACATCCATTTACATTAGCATATATTAAGCATTCCATGTTACCAAAATATGCAGCTGCTATCGTTGTACTTTTATCCCATGGACAACCATTTTCATGTGCATATTTTAAACAATCTAAATACCCATTTGCAGCAGCAACTTGTGTTGTATTTTCATCCCATGGACAACCATTTTCATGTGCATATTTTAAACATTCTAAATGCCCATTTGCAGCTGCAACACTTGTTGTATTTTTATCCCATGGACAACCTTTTTCATGTGCATATTTTAAGCATTTTAAGTGACCATATTCAGCAGCTGCTTCTGTTGTTGTATTATCCCATGAACATTCATTTTCATAAGCATACATTAAGCAGTCTAAACAGCCTTTTGCTGCAGCAGCTCTAGTTGTGCCATCATCCCAATTGCATCCATTTTCGTGGACATACTTTAAGGAATCAAAATTACATTGATTAGCTGCTTCGATTGTTGTTCCTTTATCCCATGGACATCCATTTTTGTGTGCATATATTAAACAATCTAAATTATTATTTATAGCTGCAGCCAAAATTGTGCCATCACTCCACGGACATCCATTTTCATGAGCATATTTTAAACATTCTAAATTTCCATTTGCAGCAGCAATTCTCGTTGTATCTTTATCCCAATCATATCCATATTTGTGTGCATTTTTTAAATATTTTAAATGCTTATTTGTTGTATCTTTAGTAGTCGTATGTTTATCCCAATTACATCCACAGTTGTAAGCTAAATTTAATGGTTCTAAGTTACCATTTGAAGTCGCTAAATTCGTAGCATCATTTTCATATTCACATTTTTTTTCGTTATCTGAATTTCTAATATCATTTGCTAGATGAGATTAATCATTAATTAATTTATGGCGTTCAAAATTTTATCTTAAATATAATATAATAAAGAATTTGATAGTTCTATAGTTTTTTCAGTTCCTTAAAAATTATGACCTAAGATGTAGTTTTAGCAACCAATTATATTATCATTGGGTGTACCTCGCTTATGCCCCTATTATTAAATCATCTTGTTTTTTGGATAACGAATCTACCTGATTTCAAAATAAATTTAATATGAATTTTTACTAAATTTTCCAAATATAATTTAATTTAATCTTTTTTAAAAAAAAAGTGTTTGTTACTTATAAATAAATTTACTAGTCTACAAGGAATTTTCATCAGAGACCAAAATATACTTTTATAAACTCATTTTTACACATATTTCAAATCTACAATAAAAGTTTCGCATATCAAATAAATAACAATGAAATCGTTCTAATTAATATGACATATTTATATTTGATTATTACGTTATATATGAATAATCAATAAATTTGTTTTAATTGAAAATAAGTTGAAAATTGTTTACTTTTTATACGCATATTTAAGTATTGATCCTCCCCGTTGTATAAAGGGTAGTGACCAATTAAAAAAAAAAAAGTACATCAAATGAAAGAGGTAAATAAATAGTATTTTTCGTAAAATAAATGTATTAATCCATACATTTTTCAAGAAGTTATAGCATTATAAACTTAAATATATAAAAAAGAATTTTTTTACAAAAATTGTATTTTNATTTACGAGGAACGAGGGAATTTTTTTCAATTTTTGAGTTTTTTTTACTTTAGCTTCGGGCCACTACCCACATAGCAATGAAATATTTCTATAATTTTCTTAGAATATTTATATTTGATATTAAAATATTTCTAGAATGTAACTAGAATATTTTGAAATATTTACTTTTCCTTATAAGTTAGAATTTTACCTATATGGTAATATAAAAATATATTTTAACTATAATAAAAAAAACTTTTTAGGATTTTAATTTTCACAAAACAATTATAAGATATAATCGCGCTGATAGAACTAAAAAATTTTAACTAGATAGTCCTGCAAATAAGCACACAAGGGTTTTTTTATTGTCCCTGACTTACCTAGCTTAATTGAATTAGGTTAATTAATATTGATTGTAACTAGAGAAAACAGCTGTTTACTTATTATGGATTTAGGAAGATGTATATATAATACATAAGTATTATATAACTAGATACCAATAACATCCAAGAGTGTAACTAAAGAATGCAAAGGTTTACATTTATAATATTTAAAAATTATATTGATAATATATTCCACAAATATTTCGATTAAAATATTCTATATTTATTTTAATTAATATATTTTCATAATATTTATAAACAAATATTTAAAAAGATATTTTTAAGCACGTTGAAGAAATATTTTTAGTGTAATATTCAGTAATTATTCTCTTTAATATATTCTCAAAATATACATAAACAAATATTTAAAAAAATATTTTGTGAGTATATTATATAAATATTTGAATAGAATATTTTTTATTATATTTATGAGATATTGTTACAATAATTGCTTCAAAATATTTTAAAAAGTATTTTGTAGAATATTTTGACAATATTAATATATCTAAATTGCTATGTGGGTATCGTTGTGCTTGATTAATGTATACTTAAAAAATGAACAGTTAATATAGTGACAACTTCAACTTAATATAGTTATTATTTAAAGGTTTTTAGTATTGTCAAAATATGCTGGAATACTCTGTAAGAATATCTTTATAGCTAATTTTAAACATTTACTGTATGCATTGTTTTAAAAATTACAGGAATTAATATGAACAGTTAATTAAATTAGAAGCATAGAAAATATAAAGTAGAATTACCTTTGTTAAATGAAAAAAAGGAAATTATCAGCAAAAAAGTTATCATTTGGCAGTTCTAGAATGAAATAAAAACATTATTTTAAGTTCAATTAAACACTTCATATAAAGTGTATTACTTACCTTCATTTAGCTCTAAATGTTATATTAATTATAAATATTTAATTTATATTCTGAATAACTAATGAATATTATTTTATTAACTTGGTATATATATATATATTTATATAAAGAATCACCAACATAATATATTTATTTTTTTATTTTATAAAAGCATCTTAAGTAAATAATAAAATATAAATTTAAAAATAATTATTATTTTTAGTCAACTTATATACATGTAAAAAAGCTGGTCAAATCTGGATTGTATAAAACTTTCTTCATTTGAATGAAAAACTATAAAAAAAAATACGGGTTTATATTTGTATCTATCAAGGTAATATAAAATTTAACTGTACTTTAAGGATGTGTTAATAATAAAAATATATTCAAAAAATCTTATGTTTATAACATAAGCATATATGATAAGTTGACAAGGAAAACAAAGGTATTGCTTTTATATTTAAAAGTACATACAATTATAAAATTCAAGTCCAATTTATTGCTAAGACACATTTATTTTTAGTTATTTGAATTTTTTAATTTCAGCTTAGATTCGATAATCTAAGAAATCGACTAAAAAAAATAATAACATTTCTGACAACATATTATTATATTTTTATTATTACTAAGGTTTCAATTTAAGAAAATTATAAATAAGGATTTCTACCCACTTTTTTTTACACGATCGATATTACTGTGGACCGCCCTGGAACTGCCGTTAGACATTACTTCAGAGTGGCCCACGTCGTCTCTATAATTCACACCACCACGTTGTGAATCAGTCCGAAATTAATCAATTGCAACATGGTGTGACCCCCTCTCGTTAGCCGGATCCAGAGTGGGAACCGTTAGTGAGTGTTGGCAAAATAATTCACAAAATCAAGAACCTAAGGCACCGGCCTAAACCAGCGCTCCAGGTCCTCCTGTGCCGGGCGGCGTGGCTGCCTCTATCTCAGACGTTCCGTTTCCTCCTGTTTCAAGACGTATTCGGCAAATGCTTGGACAAGCATCCACGCCTACAGGTTCCCCAACATCAGGTCTACCGTAGACCCGACTCGGAACGCGGAACCTAGTCGGGACTCCAAAGAGTCCCGCTCCTGGGCCCACGCCTCGCACCGGAAGAGGGTGTGAAGAGCGCCGTCAACCTCTCCTGGCGATCTGAACAGTGATCACTTGTTGACGCGGCTGCTTTGCGAATACGGTTCAAATACTTGTTAAAGCAGCCGTGCCCGGACAACACTTGGGTGAAACGATAAGTCATTTCTATGATTAAGTCCGGTCCACCCACCTGTCCAATCGATCGGGTCCTATGAGGTACCTGGTCCACACAGGATTCTCCTATCGTTCCTATAACATATCAGGATTCGTTCCTACTCCTGAAGGAACGAAAAATAAAGAACTAACTACATATTATTATATAGTTATTTGAAAGTGATATATTTCTTTTTATTAGAATTTAAAACTCTCCTTTGAGAAAATGAGCGTCTTAACAGATTTAAATCACTTTGTATACACAAAAATAATTTCTATTCCCTAATTAAGTTTAAGTTCAAGTTTATCATTATTTAGAAAAGCAGCTAGTAATTTAACTCGGTTCACTAATTAAACTAACTAACTTATATAAGTATCTTAAATTAAAGTTCCCTTAAGTTATATAGAACTATAAGCTGTAATTTATTTGTGTATATAATTTTTGAAAAAAAAAATATTCTCCTTTATATTTGAAAGTATATTATAAAAGTCAAATTTATATTTATATAAAAGATGACAAAGTAATGTAACTACGGAGCCACAATAGTATATTTTTTTCTTTGTCCTTCAAATTAAATGTTGTTCAATGATAAATGTATGCTAATTATTTTAAAAATATCAAGTGTCAGGTTAGACAATTTTGTACACAATTAATGTTTAAATATATTACAACGGTATCTTATAATTAATTATGAGATAACGTTGTACTTAATTCATTTTAACTATATTCCACATTTAAACGTTTATATTTTAATGTTTTTACTATTGAAAAGTTATTAAATTTTATTTTTGTTTAACGTTACTACATTTTTACGCTAAAAAGTGTTAAAAATATAATTCACTACTATAAATAATTTTTATTATGGTTAAATGACTATTTGTTTCATAGAATTTTTAAATATAACATTTGAAAAAAATGTATTTTTGTCTTATTGAGCATTGTTTAATGTTATGAGTTGTATTATGTTTAATAATACATTTATTGATATTACATATTTTAGCTTCGATGCAAAGCTGAGAAGGTATTAATTTTACTTTGATGTGTTTTTTTTGTGTCTGTTACCACTTTTTCTCAGCTCTCACCGAACCGATTTTTTTCAATGATACGTCAAAAGATCACAAATTGTATCTAGTCGAAGACATTACCCTGAAAAATCAAAAAATTTCCCTCGTTCCCCGTAAATGGGGGAAACCTCCAAAAAAATTACAAATTTAAAGATTTTTAATTTTTGAAATTTTTTTTACTTAACACTGTCATAACTTTTTTAAAAATCAACAAATCAATATAATTTTTTTTTTTTTTTTTATAGATGTTTGATGTATTCACCTACCATTCGGTATATTTTTTTTTATAAATTTGATTCTTTACCTGCACAAAAGAGGAGATTCAAAAACAACTTTTTTAACTTAACTTGTGAAAGTGTTCCAGAAATACTGACACTTTTATATATATCTTAAATTAAATTTAATATAATATACTTAATTATACAAAAAAAAAATTATCGGACTTTATTTTGTCTTCATGGTAAAAATGAACATCAAAGTTGATATAAAAAATAGGATTTTTGTAAAAAAATTCTTCTTTATATTTTATACTTAATAATGTTATAACTTCTTGAAAAATGTATGGATCTATACAATTTTGTATGAGAAATATTATTTATATACCTCTTTCATTCAAATTTTTTTTAAATTGGACCCTTAATACAGAGGGGGGGGGGTTCAAAACATAAAAATGCATATAGAAAGTAGAACTTGTTCAACTTAATTTTTGAAAGTGTTCCGGAAATACTGACACTTTTATATATAGGTTAAATTAAAACTTAAGTAATATACTTTAATATTATAAAACAAAATTTTGGACTTTATTTTGTCTGAACGGTGAAAATGGCTATCGAATGCTATTTTTGTGTGAAAATTCTCGATTTTATTTTTAAAATTTTTAACTTTATAATGCTATAACTTATTGAAAAGTGTATGGATCAACACAATTTTTTTATGAGAAGTAATATTTTTTAATAATCCCTTTTTCATTCGACATACTTTATCTAATCAAGATATTAATAAGGAACTAGCAGATCATGTAGCTTTTGGAATAATCCACCAATTTTTTAAAATTAAATACTATCTAAAAATTAGCATCGAAACGTTTTTTTTTTTATAGTGATTTTAATCACTGTCAGATATCATTATACTTGATCCAACTATGCCATGTCACCACTGTGCCGCCACCCCCCTGTACTGGGTTTTAATTTTTTTTTAATTTTTCATTATATTTTGACAAAATTTTTCGTTTTAAACGTAATAATTATAATGTTATTTATAACGTTTCCCCGTCCTAGCAATTATGTAAGCAAATGTTGTATAATTATTTAATAATTCACTAGGGGTTCTGTTGATCAGTCACAAAAAATAAAATTAAAGGACACTCTAGGAACCACGTAATGAAAATAAGTAAACGTGATGATTTACTTATCATGAAGGACTTTGTTAATCGAAGTACAAAAATAATGCTAATAATTTTTTATTGGTTTCTTTTAGTTCAATGTTTTTCTTAATTCATAAATCGTATTTTTATGTGTCATCTCTTATACTTCATAAGGATATCAATAATTGATATTAAAATAATTTTAATTTTTCAAATGATAACACACATAGTTAATTAGTTTATTTAATAAATAATATATAATTTAAAAAAATGCTGGAAAATAAAAACTTTTGGACCAGTATTTCAGAAGTTAATGACATATTTATACTTTGAGAGGATGAGTACACCCTAAAAATGTATAGTTTTGAAAATAGCAGAACTTATTCTTTATCACCATTCATAACTTAAAACTGTTAATAACTTCTGAAATAAAAGTCCAAAAGTTGTTATCGACCAGTCATATTATTAATTAGATCATTATCTAATAAATGAAGTAGTTAATTATGTGTTACCATAAAAATGTAAAGTTAATACTCTTATATGGTATAGGTAATGTATAAGTATCATAAAAATTACTTTACGATTAATAATAAATTGATAAAAACATGAAAACAAAAAAAATCAATTAAAAATTATAATTATTGTTTTTATTATTTCATCAATTAATTAGTTCATTACGCTAATGGTAAATACATTATTTATAATTATTATTAGTTAAAATTTTTTTAATTTAGAATTTTAGAAAAAAAATTGAATTTTTTAATCACTCATTCCTATTTTAAATTATTATAAATTACAATGTTTTAATGGTAAAACTTAATTGAAATAGTAGATATTTTACAAAATAATCACAAAATTGAAATTTAAATTAAATTGATTAGTAGATTATTTTGCTATTCACATAGAAGGTGGTACTTTTGTTATTTTGAAAGAGAAATATACATTCGAAATATCTAACGTAAAACTACAAGAAAATCTATTTTTAACATTTTATAGTTCACTTAAAAAAATCTTAAACATCATATAACTCTGTTCAAATGTAGTTATTTTACATTTATTCGGACATAAAACTTAAAATTATTATTATAATGAAAATATGAAAACGATAGTCAGGTTTTTTCTTTAAATAAACAAGAAAATCTACTTGGTATTTAGAATATTATGAGTAAAAATATAATCATTATTAATATTTGGAAATTTTTTGATACTTAAAAACATATTTTGCAATTCATTTTTTAAATAAAATAAATATTGATTCAATTTGCATGTTTTTCTATTTTCACAAACATTTATGAAAATAATTCAGAATTTCAAAGACGAAATATCATAACTAAATTAATTAATCTTATGGAACTTAAAACAATGAATGATTTTTTAATATTTTTACAACTTTTTCTTTAGCAAAGTAAATTAAAGCAGCACAAAAGAATATTAAAACATTTTTTTTGATACACATACTTCAATTTATAATATATATATACAGAGTGATTTTTTTATCATAACCCACTTAATTACTTACAGAATAATAATAATTTAAAAATTTTTTTTTATTATTATCTTTAGTTACACATTATTCTTGAATTATTAACTATGTAATACTTTTTAAGTTCATCCCTTATGCTTGGTAAGGGTGTCAACTTTGTTTTTTTAAATGGTAACACATATTTTTAATTTAATAAAATGTTTGAGTTTTTAATTNTTTTAAATGGTAATACGTATTTTTAATTTAATAAAATATTTGAGTTTTGACAATACAAAAAGTATATCTATTGGTAGTCATAATTGATAATAAACAATTCGTGATTGTGACAGCAATGTCATAAAAAACCAATTAGCTACCTATATTTGATATCCCTTGTGTATTATACCTGTATATTAACTCAAAAATTTGAAACTTTAAATGATTATATCTAATAAACGAATTAAGTTATATTAAAAATTCAAATGCCATTTACTATTAAATTAAAAACTCNATTAAAAATACAAATGACATTTGTTATTAAATTAAAAACTCAAACATTTTATTAAATTCAGAATATGTGTTACCATTTAAAAAAACAAAGTTGACACCCTTACCAGGCATAAGGGTTGAACTTAAAAAGTATTACATAGTTAATAATTCAAGAATAATGTGTAACTAAAGATNATAATTGAAGAATAATGTGTAACTAAAGATAATAATAAAAAAAATTTTTTAAATTATTATTATTCTGTAAGTAATTGAGTGGATTATGATAAAAAAATCATTCTGTATATATATACAGGGTGGCCCACCACTCACTGACAACTTAAATAACTTTTGATCCAGTTAATATTTTTAGCTGATTTTTTTTTTAAATAATAGTTATACGTTAGGTCTATAGCTATATCTCAATAATTAATTTTTTTACATTTTATTAAAAATATTAATTATTTTTAAATTTTAAATAAAATGTAAAAAAAAAATCTAAGATAGCTATTTTGTAGAGTAGAATTTAAGAAAAATTTTAGTAAAAAAATATCTTATTAATATTCAGTAGTAAATATTCTGTAGCGTTTTGAAGTTTGTGAAAATTTGAATTTTCATGTATTATTTTACGGTATTAAACATTGATATACGTATTGAGAAAAGGACAGAATTAATTAAATTATTACTATTATTAAATAAACTAGTGAATTATGTATGTTGCCAATTGAAAAAATAAAGTTGACATAACGTCAACACATAAACGACATAAAATCTATATAATTGTGGTTTGATCGGATCATCTGATTTTTAGGAAAAGTGATGTTACCCCAGTACATAACAGTATTTTGTTATCATGATTTATCATTATCATTTCTACTGGTGTACCTCGTGCTTATGTTTTCATCTTTCGTGTTTAATGAACTCATGTTTTTATTAAATTATACTTTTCGATTTGAAGAGTTATATTTTTTACTATTTTAAATATATTTATTTACAAAGATGAAGAATAAACCACACCGCCATAAGGAAAAAAATACATTTAGAGTAATTTTGAATTAAATTATTTTATCATACCTAATTAATCATACTTTTTTGTCAAGTTTATAACAAATAATACGAATTTTATAAAATCATTTATTTTTTCAGTTTCAATCATTTAGTGAAAGAATAACAGAAATTGATGTTGATGTTATTCATCGAGTTGGCCATACTTATGAGAATATTGATGATTCACAAAAAACTATATTTGCTCAGGCAATTGAACGCTGGAATGACCTTAATAAATCTGAAAATTATGATCAGTTATGCTGTGATTTAAAACCATTACAGTTAGAAAGCCTTCCTCAGCTATTAGCTAGAAAACAAGAAATAGCTGGTATTTTGTTTAAATATCTTGAAGAACCTAATTCCCTTTCTATTCAAGCTCTTTTAGAGTAAGTTATTTGTTAAATTTATTATTTTCATATATTAAATAAACACATTTACTTATGTATTTAATTATTTGTTAGATTTGTTGTAGCATTTGCTCAAGATTTGCAGCAGGAATTTTATGAGTATTTTCCTGAATTTTTAAAATGTTGTATAAAATTATTAAAAACTAAGGATCCTGAACAAATTGAATGGTCATTTACTTGTTTAGCTTATTTATTCAAGTTCTTATGGCGTTTGATAATTCGAAATGTAAAACCTGTGTTTGAATGTGTAGTTCCATTATTAAGTGGTGATCAACCATCATATGTGAATGATTTTGCAGCAGAATGTTTTTCTTTTGTAGCTAGAAAAGTAAAAGATAAAAAAAATTTTTTGAAATTAATTCTTAAAAATTTAAAACATAAAAAGGATGTAAGTTTTCGCTAAAAATAATTTATTTTAACAAGAAATAGATAGAATTAAATTTTTAAATACATCTTAATTTATGTTTTTAGAGTATTTATGGTTGTTCTAAACTGCTATTTGAAGTGATTAAAGGAATTTCCGGAGGTTTACATATTTGTGCTGAAAGCTTTTTACCAGTATATTTAAACTCCCTTTGTGATACAGATTTATCCCATAAATTGCTTTATGAAATTATAGATATGCTATTTGATAACATTTTCAACTATATAGATCCTAAGAAGACCTTAATCATATGGACTATTCTTAAGGTAAACATAAATTGTAAAATATTTATAATTAAATTTGTTATCTCATTTTATCATAATATTAAACAAATACTTTTAGTTTCAAGTATTGATATTATCATTAAATTATCTTAAAATATTAAACTATATTATATAGATGCTATAAAATTATGTGCTAAAATATTCTTTCATAATTTTCTTGATTTTTATTGGCAAGTTATTTATGTCTTATATGTATTTGCTTATATTGTTTCACTTTTATTTTATTGTTACAGAATACAGCATCAGACTTTTTAAAAAACTACGAAAACAATAAAAATGATAGGACAAGTGAAAATTTTAACCAAATATTACTGCTTTGTCTAAAATTTATTAATCATAAAAATGGTGTTTGTATTCAAAATTTCACTGAAATTTTTGAATGGTTATGTGTATACTTAGATTACCAGTCTCAATTAGCACAAGATCACTTACATACATTAGCTTCTATTGTTAGTACAGTTTGTTTATTCAGAACTAGTTTGCCATCTTATCAGTGTTATTCTTTAATTGTAAAGGTAAGAACAGATCAAGTACTTATTTTTGTTAAATTAAATTAAATGTGGTGAAATAATTTTTATAAAAATCTAAAAAAAAAAAAAAGCTGTATTATAAGACATTATTTTTTTAACATCAATTGCAATCTTATTTAAGTTTTAGTTATTAGTTTGAAAAACTTTTATGTCAAATCATTAAAATTATTTTAAAACTAAAGTAAAAATAAATAAATCAAATCTATCATGAAAAAACTTAATTTTACTATTAAACTAAAAAATGTGTCTTATATTCAGTTTGAAATTTTTTATTTGATCAAAATTTAAAGAGAAAATATTAAATTGACGTTGAATATTCTAAGCTAGAATTTATTTTGTCATATTACTAATATAATTTATCTTATAAATAATATATATATATATTTATTCATATATTACACTTATAAATCATAAAATTTGTAATCAGCATATAAATAAGGAAATAGGAGATCATGTAGCTTTTGGAATATTCTACCAATTTTTTAAAATTAAACACTATCTACAGATTTGCATTGAAGCTTTTTTTATGATAGTGATTTAGAGATCATTATATTTTTTTTATCAAGTTTTTATTTAATCATCTGAAACTATTTTTAATAAATTATAACTTTATTTTATTAATTTGTATTGCAGGTTATGTCAGTGAAGTATATTAATATTATAGTATCATTTGTTGAGCAAATGTATTCTTACATTAATTTTGAGCTATCAATTATGCAGTCATTTTTAAGTTTTATTTCTGAATTGATAAGTGCAAATCAAGAAATTCCTAAAAGTATTATTATTTGTTTAGCAAGATATTTAAGTGATAATTCTCCATTACGATCATATAGCTTCAAAAAATGGAGAATTAATTATGTTAATACTTTGTATGGAAAGTTAGTAGATTTAATTATCTAATAATATTTTAATACTTCAGAAATATTAATTTAAGCTAAAATTTTTCTTTATTTTAATATTTTTAGAAAATAGTATATATATTTTTACTGACCTTGTAGTTTAAAAAAAATTACACAGTTGTGTCATCTTTTATTTTTATTGTTTTTCTTTAACAGTATATTATGAGATATTCAAAATTTTACTTATTTAAAATTCTTGACTTTTATTTAAAATAATCACTACCATATAACAGTTGATGTGTAAATAAAACTAATGAACTAATAGTCTCTTCTATTGTTTCAGACACAATGGTAGTGAAGTAATAGGAGATTATGTTATTCAATGTTTGGAATATTTTAATAAAGATAACTTTAATGCTGAAGATATAACTTGCTATTTAATTTTACTTCAACACTTTTGTCACAATGAAGTTAAAGCTACTAATATTTTAAAAAATATAACTGAAATTATAGTTAACAACTTGGATCAAGGAGATATTGCAAATTTATTTTGTTTTTTGAATATTATAGAAACTATTTTAAAACTTGAAGAAGATCCTAATTCATGGTTTATACTACCTTCATTAATACCGCAGCTTCAATCACTTTTAGATTATAAGTTTGGATGTTGTGGATTAGTATTACATATAATACAGTTGATAATGAATAACTTAAAAATTAATAATAATGATGTTTATGTCAATAAATTAGAAGAAAGACTTACTGATTTACTATCATCACCATACCACTTAGTTAGATATCTAAGTTGTCAAATTCTTGTCGTCATAAATTCATCATCTAATATTTCTGAGAAATATAATTTATTTAAATTGTTAGAATCTATAGAAAAAGTACCAGCATCATTAAATGAGTATAGAGAACGTCTATTGCGCATTCAACATTTAGATAACAATGAAACTTTCAAAAATAAATATTCCACTGTTGATAATGCTACACAAATAGTTGTTAAATTTCTATTGGGAAATTTACATCTTAATTTTAAACCTGTTTGGGATCCAGTTTCTAAATTAATAGTTTCTCACAGTAAAACATCAAAAACTTTTTGGCCAGTTTATGAAGAACACTTAAAATTAACTACTACTCCGGAAAACTATATTAACAAAAATATAGAAGCAAATGACAAATTTACAAGTATTATTATCATAAATTCTAATTGAGAATGGGATTAATTTTTATTTTCATTTTTAGATGATTTTTTAATTCAATATTGTAATAAAGTGAATAATACTTCAGAAAGAGTAGACATTAATAATTATAGAATTTTACTATGGAATACCATGTGTGATTTCCCAGATCTTATTCAACAAAAAAACAAAGATGTAGTAATACATTTTTTGTCATTTATTAAGTATGTAGTCAGATAGATTTATGTTGAGATAACATAATAATGTAATTTTTTTCTCATCAAATTTGTGAACTATTTGATTTTACAAATAATTAATTTTATAAATAGATTTATAAAATATATATGAACTTTAGGATCGTAAAGTAGTGAGAAGATTCATTCTTCCACTATGATTTTATGTTCATAGGTATCGTTTTGATTTTATGGACCACTCTGTAAATACATCACTGTTACTTAGTTTTCATAATTACTATAAATATTATCAATGATTTACTTTTTCATTAAAAAAGACATTTGTTTTTTGAGTAAATTTTCTTATACTATTGCATTTACAGCTCAGAATATTTGTGCAGCAATTCAGATTTAGCTAATAAATGGAATATTAAACAAAGTTCTAACGAAGAAAATCTAGATAATGAGGAAGAAGAATGTTTAGTTGATAATAATACTGAAGAACCAACATCAAATAAGAAATCTCTTACAAAGTAACTTGCTTTATTTAGAAATTGACCCAAATTGTAAAATGATTACTTAACTATATTTTAATTAAAATATCTATCCTAGATTACTATTAGCTCATTTGAAATTGATGTCAACAATACGTAATCCTAAAAGTATATATAAAGATTCTGAAATATATGATGTTTATTTGAGCCTATTAACAAATAAAAATGCAGAAATACAAAAGGCAGCATTTGACTGTTTATTAATGTACAAACAAACACATATAGTACCTTACAAGTAAGTGCAATTTTTAATTTTTTACAGTTTTTTTTTTTTTTTTTTTAAGTGAAACTTCTTTACAAAGAGTCCAAAAAAAAAAAACATTATCTTGCATCACAGATGGATTCTATTTTATTAGATATACAGTATGGTGAATCAAAAAAATTCTATCTTCGAAATTTTAATGAGAACCATTTTAACTTTAATATATATATTAAAATAGGCATTTTGTGAATATTTGAGATTTTAAAAAAAAAAATTTTTTTGGTCGCTCAATGTGTTTTTGTATTTTAACCAAATATATCCCAAAAAACAATAAACAGCATCTTTTATTCAATTTTTGGTCAAATATTATGAAAAGTATATCAAAATAAATGTAATAACTATAAATTTAATTAATAATATATATTAATGTAAATAAAATAAAATATTATCTATACAAAGTAATCGGTTTGTCATAAACCACTCGATTACTCATAAAATAAATACAATATTGGAGAAAAATTTTTGATTTCTTTTAGTTATATATAATTCCTGATTTATCAGTTAATAATTACTTTTTAGGATCATCCCATACATTGTATAGAGGTTTCAACTTTGTTTTTTGAAATAGTAACATACATATTTAATTGATTTCTAAAATAGAAAATTATCTAATTATGAAAATGACTGTTCAATAAAAACCTTTGAACCAATACTTAGGATGCTACTCTCATTTTTATAGCTCAGCAGAATGAAGAGTACTAAGGAAATGATTAGTGATAAAAATAGTAGCATTCTCGATTTATTATTTTAAATTGTTAATAACTTCTGAAATACTAGTCCAAAAGTTGTTATTGAACAGTCATTTTCATAATTAGATAATATTCTATTTTAGAAATCAATTAAATATGTATGTTACTATTTCAAAAAACAAAGTTGAAACCTCTATACAATGTATGGGATGATCCTAAAAAGTAATTATTAACTGATAAATCAGGAATTATATATAACTAAAAGAAATCAAATATTTTTCTCCAATATTGTATTTATTTTATGAGAAATTGAGTGGTTTATGATAAACTGATTATACTTTTATTAATAAATAGTAACAGTAAGTTATAAAATATATTTTATATTATAATTTAGCATTGTATTTTCGAAAAATAAAGTAATGTTATTTCAAATGCATTAAATAATTTTAATTGTGCATAAAAAAATTTAAAAAACCACAATAGATACAATTTTTACACAATATCTTCATAATATCCAATCAAAAACTTACATAAGTTATTTTAGTTATCATAAGCCTATTATATATCTTGTGACAATAGAATAAGAAAATTAATTATAATAATAAATTGAATTAATATCTATTGAAATAAAATTTTTAGGTGAATTTTTTTATTTTATTCTAATACAAATCTTATATTATATCAATTGAATGACTCTGAAAGAAATTTCACTTCATCTATGTGTATTATTAACATGCATTGGTTTTTTTAATAAATAATGATCTTTGTAAATAAATTTATTTTATTTTTAATAGGGAAAATATTTATAGCCTTATCAATGAAAAATCTTTTAAATCTGAATTAGTTTTATTTCGAGTGGACTCTGAAAGTGATAAAATATTAGCAGAGCATCGACCTCTTTTAATACCTGTAATAATGAGGTAAATATTTCGATGAAAATAATTTAAAATAAAAATAATCGCCCTAAATTCAATATTATTCAAAAATTATTTTAAAATTTGATGGTTGTAATTTTTAGGTTAATTTATGGAAAATTATTAGGAGGTGGAAATGCTAAATCTAGTAGTAAGTGTTCAGGACAAAATCGTAGAACTGCAATTATGCGTTTTCTTGTTGGTTGTGAAGAATCAGAACTCAAAGTTTTTATGCAAATGGTATTTAGGATTTTACATCATCAAATCGACTGTAAGTATTCTATACAATAATAATTTGTAGCGTATCCAAGGGGTGTGCTAAAATAGTTGAGTCCTTTCATTCTATTTTAGGTAAAAGTTACTAGTTCTTTTTTTTTTTTTTGTATAGCCCCTCTATTAAACATCCTTTATATGCCACTGATAATAAATTATTTTTAATAATATGATATAATATTAATATTTTTTTTTAGTTTCTGAATGTCCATTAGAAATGATTCATCATATTATAAACTCAATAGATTTAGGACATGTTTTACCACCTAGACGACTTCTTTCATCAGTCAACATGTGTGCTGTGATAATGAAACAATGTGGTGCTTTAACAGGATCTAATGGCTTATATTATTTGCTAAGAGTTATGTTATGTATTGGTGCAAATGTTAAAGCTATACTATTAAATCGCTCAAGTGTTCATACAGGTTATTTGAACACAATATCTAAAGTACGAGTGACCACTATAGAAACATTAACTACTTTTTTTGAACAATTTGAGCATTTCTCGTGGAAGAGAAATTTTTTAGATGCAATTTTCAATGTTTTTGTAGAACCATCATTAGTCAAGTTACCTATTGAATGTGTTCAACATCCAACTCCTTTAATGAAACTCATGGTTATTTGGAGTAAAATTCCTAGGTATATCGATTTATAATGTTTGGTACTCTGTTATACAAATTATATGAATTTTAAACAAATTTGTACATTTTATTTCAGATATTTTTGTTTATTGGGTTATGAAGTAAATAACAAAACATCTATTGAAGTATTTACTGAATTATTGATTTCTGATAAAGTTCAAAATAATGTGAAGAAAATTATTCTTGAAATCATTGATAGGTTATTAACTTTAGACGGAACTATAGACGATGCAATGGAAAGTGATAGTCCTCCACTCGATATTCCAATTCCTTCAGTGCTGTTAGAATGTGAAGGTATATACATATCTTATATTTCTTTGTAGAAAGAAAAAGTGGTCTTAATAAACTTGAAATATAAAAAAAAAAGTTCATTTTTGATGTTTTTAGAGTATTAATCACTTAATATTACAATTAAAATAATTTTATAAAAATAAATGAATTTCTGTATTCTAAATATGTTAAATGTTGAAAATTTTATGACAATTTTGTTATTTATTTTCTATTTTATAAATATTTATTTTTGTACTGGGTGTTTTTTTTTAAGCAAAAAAGAAAAATGAGATATTTTTAACAATAGTGCTGATCTCGTGAAGAATTTTATTTCCTTAATTTTTTAATACCTGTATTTTGTATTATTTATTTCATAAATATAATTAATTTTGTTATTAAAATATTTAAACCTTTAAAAATATGTTAGATATATAGGTATTTAATTATAAATTATTTTTTAAAAATTATTACTTAAAATATGAAATAATTATTTTTATAATTTTTTTTAGATGATTTAAATGTTGGATCAAAATTATTATACCCACATCTTTCTACAATTCTTAAATATCTATATAATGAGCTTTCTCAAAAAAAAGGTGTAGGATTAGCATCAGTTGAAATGTCAATTATTACCAAAGCATCAGAATTAGTATGTGATGAACAGTCAAGTTCAAACCTATTATCTCTATTATTTCCAGTGTTATTGAAAAAAGCTTCTGGAGATAATTCAGCTATTGCTCCATTATTTTCAACTATTAATTGTTTGGTTTCAAATGTTAATGATGTTGGAACTTTACCTCGACAATTAGCTACACTTTTTGGAAGTGTTGTTGGACAACATAGTAGAAATATGCTATTAGAATTCACCAAAATAATTGCTCAAAAAAGCAAGTTAGTATTATTTATTTTTCGACAAAAATGTATAATTGTTTACCTGTAAAAAGTACCTTGTTTTGTAAGTTTTTAAAGTGGATGCTATTAAATTGTATACCAAATTAATTCTTTAAAACATAAAAGTGTAAACGGGTACTTGAATTTAATAAATTTTTAAATTTTTTTTTGGTATTTATTTTTTACTTTCAGAAATTGTCGAATATATCATGAAATATTATATGATTTGAATGCTTGGGATAAGAGACATTTAGAACAACCAGACTATGATTTGAGAATGAATGCATTGAAACAAATAAAATTATTAATAGAGAAAGATGATATATCTGTTGAATTTGGAGCATTTGTTATCTATAATTGTTTTTATATTTTAAAAAATGTATGTAATTTTTTAATAAAAATTGTGTAATTTTTTTATGTAGCTACAATAACTTTTTTTAAAGGTCAATGATATAGGACTTCGAGATTCAGCAAGTATGTGTTTAAAAATGTTGAGTTGTCATTTATGTTTAAAATATTCAAAACAATCATCTGAACGCTTATTTATACTTGATTCTGTTATATTGCCATCAATACACAATGGTATACAAGGACATAAAGAGTTGGTTCAGAATGAATCTATTTCACTATTGGGACATTTGGTTAGTTAATTGCTGTATTTTTGTTTTGCATTGTTAAATTATTTATTAAGCTCATTAAACTATAAGTAATTACAATTTGAATGATTTTATAACTATTAATTGTAGAGTATGATTTTGTATTTAAAAAAAAATTGTAATAGGAGAACATATTTCTGGAATTTGTGAACTCTAATAAAATATGGTTGTCTTCTAAAAATTAAAGTACCACTAAAAAATTACTTGTGTGTAAAGTCCCATAAAAATAAATTTTACAGTGTCGCATTTTTAAAATAAAAATCCACTTTTTCAATATAAAGCTCTGTATATTTAATAATAATAAAAATAAATTTATAATTGATGGATATCGGTAGCTGATTAAATTGTTGATCTAACCATTCATAAGTAATTAATATATTCTTGAACACCAAAATAATCTAGGTTAGTCAGTTGCTTTTAATTTTTACAGATATATAATTATACACCAAACTCGATGTTTGGTGTATAATTTGTTTACTGTACTAACCATGATTATTGAATTCATTGCATCATTCTATAAGACAATTTAATCATTTTAAATGTGCCGGATATATTTTAGTATAAAATAGCTACTTTACTTATTAGCAAACTATGTTCAAAATAATATTTATACATATTATAAAATACTAATTTACAGCCATGGTGACTGGTAAAAAATTCTAAACTTGATACTTTAAAGTAGTCATTATTACGAAAACTTTCAAATAAAAATTATATAAATGTTTAAAGAATATTTACTGAGTTTGTTATTATAAACACAAAACTGATAACTAATATGATAATATTTTATACAAAATCATTGATTATGATGATATCAATTAGGAAGACATAATCATATGTAAATTCACCTTTTATATAAAAAAATACTTTTTTTTGTACGAAATTGATTTCAAATATTACTTACCCACCCTAAGTTCTTTTAGTTGATAAAAAATCAAAATAAATTATATTAATAAATTCAATCTAGCAAAATGTATTCATACGAGTAATAATGTAGCAGTTTAATTTTTGAAGGACTTACCATATGGGTATTACTAAAGCATTTAATTTTAGGAGAGTTAATATTTGCTTAAATATTATACTTGATAAATTTATACCAATTTTTAAGAGCAATATTTTCCATAAAATTAATTACAACACTGTAAAAAAAAAAAATGTTAAATAAATTTTTACCAGTAGCAAAATAAAAATAAACTAATACATGGTACTTTTGAAAGTAACGCTTAAAATTTTAAACAAGTTTAAAATCTGACAAAAAATGGGCACCTTTTTTTCTTTATTGGCACTTGATACATTTACTTTTTTTAATTTTTTTAATATGTAAAACTACAAGGTTACAGAATTATTAGTATTTTGTTTTAAATAAGTATATAGTTAACTATAATTATTCTATTTAAAGAATTATATTTAATATTTTAAAAATCCAGGCTAGAAACTGCGCAACAGTTCATTTTGTATTCAAAGACCTACAACCTTTAACCAATGAAACAGATTTAGAAGGTGATTTCTTTGAAAATATTCAACATATTCAAACATATCGGAAAGTTAAAGCACTTCATAGGTATGTTTTTTTAGATTTGTTTTTAAGGCATAATATATTGAGGATCTACTATTACAGAAACATATCAACCTTTACTAGGATTTTTCGATTATTAGTCTATTTCAACCTATACATAAAATATTTTTTAATATGAAAATAGTATACCATTAATAGAAAGCATAATATATATTTATTTTATTTTTTGAGAAATTAAAAAATGGTATTATTTAGATTAATATATGGTAAGAAACTTTATTAATTTCTATTAACTGTAAATCTATGATAAAATCTCAACATTTCATTAAAATGGCTATTTTTTCCAATTATATAGTAATAAAGCATTTTAATAGAAATATTTGTAATTAATTCTATGTTAATTTTGTCGATTAAAATTTCTTTTAAATATTTTGATCTAAATTTATTAATTATTAAGAAATTATTAGTAATGCGGCAGTGCCTAATGCACATTGTCTCGGGTATGATAACAAACCTGAAACAGACAATTCCATTTGCTGAATGAATTATCAGTTTCAGGAGCATATATGATTAGGAAACTTCCTCTTAGGGAATCGCAATCACCCTCAATGGCTAATGATATAAATTGAAAAAAATAGTGATTTTAATAAAATGTTGAACTTTTCTCATAAATTTACTTTTAATAATAATTATATAAATTTTTCATCATATATTAATGTAAACATACCATTTTTTAATTTATCATACAATTTTCATTTAATGGTGTTCATTTCAAATTTGCAAGTAAAGCCAAAATAATGTATGGTAAATATTTCAATTTTTTTATGAATTTTGGTAAAAATCAATGTTAAAAGATTAAACTATACAGGGTCCGTTTAATAAGTACCGGGACTGGTTCCAAAAATAAAAATTTATTGTAGGTATCATTACAATTACTTAAAAATCTTCAAAATATATTTCTCTTTCATCAATATACCTTGTTCAGCGCATCTGCCACTCATCAAAAGCTCGCTGGAAGTCGGTTTCCAAAATACTGTTGAAAGTCTATCATCGTCACTTGAACTGCCTCAATGGAGTCTATCCGATGTCTTTTAATCTCTTTTTTCATTCGCGGTAACAAGAAAAAGTCAAATGGACCCAGGCCTGAGCTTGGGGGAGATGAGACAACATTACCATGCCGAATTTCACCAGCAGCTGCGGCACAACAATAGAACTGTCACGACGCATACATTTCTCATCGCAAGATACTCTGTTACAATGGTGTGATTGAAGGTTCTGACTGAAAAGATGGTCTGCTCACTGATAAGAGCGATGGTTAAACGTCTGTCAGAATTCAAAACTTTTTTCACTTTAGCCACCAGAGGATCGGTTCTAACGGTTGTCAGGCGTCTGACGTAGTGCTCGTTTTCGACGAGCTCAAACATTTTGTGCCACTTATAAACTTGTGTGGATTAAAGCATCATCCTCATAAGCCTGTTTAATAAGTTCAAGGATTTCCAACACGGATTCCCGATTTTAAAGCAAAATTTCACAGTGTAGCATTGCTCAACAGTGCACTCCATGCTGGCGCAACAACACCACAAATAATCACATGTCACAAAAACCCATCTCCTATCTCAACACATGTCTGTAAGCGACTGATCTAAAGTGCGCCTGAGTAATGGGGGACCCCTCTACCAAGCCCGACCAGTTGGACCCCCCATCCACCACTCCAATGAGGCTATAGTAAAACAGTTCCGATACTTAACGAACCCTGTAAGTAAAACATAATAATAGAACTGGAATTCTGCAAAGATTATTGTTGATAGTTTAAAAATAAAAATCAATAATAATTTTAAAAAAAAATTATTTTTTTTATGTGTAGTTACTTGTTTTTATTAATTAGTAATTATCATAAAAACTAGAGATGAAAAAATCTAATTGGAGATTTCTAATCAGCACAAAATATTGGTTTAGAAAAGTACATTTTTGTCTATGATGAAAAATACTTATTGACCAGTGTATTATTATGATAATTTAATTGAATAAAAATATTATTTTTTATTTATCAGATTTTCTGAAATTATGAAAAAAAGTTATCAATGTCCTAAACCTAAAACTATTATTCAATTTATTTTACCTTTGGCTAACCAATTTTTATGTAATCAAAAATTCACTGGTAAAAATAGTCTTGTTGATGCAGCCATTGATGTAAGTTGTCACTAAGTTTAATAATTTTAGCAATGCAAATGTTCTCATCATTTACATTATTTATTAATTTTTAGGCTGTTGTATTAATGAGCCGAATGCTTCCTTGGAAACAGTATGAGACCTTATTAAAACTTTATTTATCAAAGTTACGTCAATCATTAGAATTTCAAAAGCAAACAGTTCGTATAGTGTCTGGTATATTAGACTCTTTTCATTTTGATTTATCACGAGCAAATGAAATAGTATCAAAAAATTCACAAAATTCTCCAGAAATTAAAAAAAATAGTGAAAGTAGTTCTTTAAAAATAACTGAAAAAAAAAAAGCTGAACTTATGTTTAGTTATGTGGATGAATCCAAAATGGAAATTGATGAAAATTTTGATGACAACGAAGAAGATGATGACAATGTTGAAAAAGTTGAGCAATTAAAAAAATTAATTTTAGAGAGAATACAAGTTTTATGTCCTTCAACAGCTAAAAAAATTACCAAAGAAATTTCCTCTGGTCTTGTTCCTCAATTAAATAAAAGCTTAGCTGAGTACTCAGAATCTGAACGTAGACATAAAGTGAATAAAAAACAAGCTGAATATGACAAAGAAGAAATGGAAATGTTGAAAATACCAGTTGCTTTTGCAGTTGTCAAACTATTGCAAAAGCTACCTTCTCACATGTTGGAAGAAAATTTGCAGAGTATTTTCATGAAACTTTGTACATTTTTGAAATCTCGCTTGGAAAGTGTACGAAGAGTTACTCGGGAAACATTACAAAATATTATGTTAGCATTAGGCACCAGTTATATGAGTATGCTATTAAATGAAATGACAGCTTTATTGACTAAAGGTTTTCAAGTTCATGTTCTTCTTTACACAATACATGCAATTTTTGTTTCATTGAGTAACCATTTTGAAAAGGGACACATGGATGCATGCTTGCCTTATATTATTGAAGTAAAATAAACTATTTTTTTTTTTTTTAATAATGTTGAATATAAATGAATATGATTTTATGAAACACGTAATATATTTACTTTAATATTTTTTTTAATAGGTTGTGAAAGTTGATTTATTTGGTGTTAGTTCTGATGAAAAAGAAGTCACTAAAATTGCTGGAAAAACTGTTGAAGCCCGTGGTAACAAAAGTTATAATACATTACATATTGCTGCAGAATATATATCAGAAAAAAATTTACTGAATCTAGTTGTGCCTTTTAAAGATGTTAGTTTTTATAAAATTAAAATTATTTAATTATTTATATATTTTAAAATAATATTTTTTTCAGATTCTTTTCATGACATTGTCATTTAAAAAGATCAGAAAATGCATTGAAAGTTTAAGGCATATAGTGACAGGTTTGATAGATAACAAGTATGTTAACAATGAATCATTGTTAGAGTTAGCATATGGTATAGTTTCTCAAAGTATTCCAGCATTAAATGTTGAACCTAAACAAGAACTAAAAAAGAAAGAAATAGTTAAAAGACCAGACTCATTTATTATTCCTGAAGGTAAAATAATTGTACAAATTATTTTAAATAAAATATTTTTAGTGTTAATTTAATATAATAACTTATTTCAGAACCTAAACGAAGTTCTACAATATATGATGTAAAAATGTGTGCTCAAGCAAATGCTCATGTATTAGTACAATTTGGCTTAACCTTGTTTCAACTTATGTTAAAACGTGAAATGTTGAAAAGTGCAACTTTTTCTCCTTTTGTTGATCCTTTTGTTCCATTAGTTATGAATTCTATGGTTTCTGAACATGTTAAGGTATAAAGATAAAACTATTATTAAACTCATTAAAACAAATGACTAATAAACTTATTGTTATCTATATAATCAGAGTCTATATTTTTAAATAAACAATGAATTATTACACCTCTAAAGTATTTAACAAATTAAATACTTAAAATAGATTATAAAATCATATTTTTTTTTAGCTCACTACATTAGCATTGCAATGCTTGAACTGCCTTTTAAAACAGGATTTGCCCTCTATGAAAGAAAATATTGAAGTAATTTCTGATAGACTTTTTGAGGTTTTGCATAAATACGCAACTGGAAAAAATTGTAATGGTGATAATGCTGAGCTTGTTATGTCTGCATTCAAAGTAATTTACTTAATTTTATTATTATTATCAAGTTTATTAATAAAAAAAGTTATTTTATTTATAATTTATTTTCATTTTTAGACCTTGTCAACTTATATTCGAGAAGTGAAATATCATAAACTAAGCGATGACCGCTTACGTACAGCAGTTTTGTATGCAGAACAAGAATTGTCTTCTATTGAAGATGGGGGAAATACAGTTACAACAACTTTCACACTCATAAAATCAATACTTAGTCGACAGCATAATTGTCCTGAATTAAAAGAACTTATGAATCATGTTGCTAAAGCAAGTATTACATGTGAACGTGATGCCGTACGTACTCAAGCTCGGCAAACATTTTATCAGTACTTAATGGATTATCCTATAAAAAAATCTCTTAATGGACATATACAGTTTTTCCTATCACAATTAGAATATGAGCTACAAAATGGAAGAGAATCTGCTCTTGAAATGATAATATTACTAGTAAAAACTCTACCTCCTGTAAGTATTGTAGTTGTTAAATAATTTAAAAAGTTTTTAGAAATTGACTAAAGTGCTTGTAGAATGTTTTAAGCAATCATAGCTCAGCAATTTTTATATCACTAAGTGCACAAATGATTAATGATAGTGTATCATCTTGCAAAAAAAGTGCAGCAGATGCTATAGCACTATTACTAGGTAAATTGGCAAAAAACATCACATCGACACTTTATGAAATAACTTTAACATGGTTGAAAGGAGATAAGGTAAAGATTATTAGATAACATGAAATGTTATTATATTAATATTAAGGGTTTTTTAAGGTTATTCATAGACAATTAGGAGCACAATTAATAAGTATTTTTGTAAGTGTTGAAGGAGAAGAATTTAAACAACGCCTTAAAACCACTCTGCCACTTCTTAGTTCACTTTTAAAACGTAATACAGTTATTAATGGACCCGGTCGTTTTGTAAAAATTCATGAAGCTGAAGCTAGTGATACAGATTTAGATCATTTACTCTTTCAATGTTTAATAACTTGTGTTAATATTGTTAATGCCTACCCTAATATTTTTACCAAGTCATCTTATAGTGAATATATAACAAACATTGCAAGTAAGTTAAAAAAAATTAAACTAGATGTGATTTGTTATTAAATATAATACTTAAAAATAGTATTAAGTCAAGAATTGTTACGTGATGAACATGAGTGGGTTCGACTTGGAGCACTAAAATTCTTAAAAAAATATTTATCATCAGTAGACCCATTAAAAGTGGCAACACAGGCATCTCAAAAAATAGATAAAGAAGAAAAACGTTATTTGTATTTCAATGCTCGACAAAGCGTAAAAATGTTATGTTTAGATTTGGTAGATCAAATTATTCCTGGTCATGAAATACTTGAAGAAATATTGAATGAGGTATGAAATATCAGCATGTGAAATATATTTTTCATCATTTAGTTATTACAAAAATAAAATTTAATCCTAATATTATTTGATTTTCAGACTAAAGAAAATCTTTTATATCTTACTGACATTTTGAAAAATATTCGATCAAAAAAATTACAGAATGAAAAAAATGAATTATCTATTGGATGGTTGCTTAAGAATCTTAATAAACTTATTTATATTGAGGTGTCTAAACATCCACTTAACTACACTGTGGTGAGTATTTTTTTGTTATTTATTTAATGAAAAAATTATTTTACTTTATTGAAATTTATAAAGTCTCAATGTAATTTTTCCATTTATTTTTAAATTATGTTATATAATTATTATAATTATGTTAAACTACAATTTTTTTATTTTTTTACAGAGAAAAATAGCATTTGAATTTATTGGTGCTATGGCTGCTCGTTTAGAGAGATCTAAGCTTCTTTCAGTTTTAAAAATTATTCTAAAACCTTTAATACGTGAGTTATCCACAATGGATGATGCAGGTATTGATATACGGCGAATAGCAAAAATGGCTTCTTCTAATATAAAAAAGAAATGTGGACCTGATACATATAATGAAAATTGTAGTATTGTACAAAGATTGCTTAATGCCAAGAGAGCACTACGAAAGAAAACATCATTATTACAAGTTAGTGACTCATACATTATACATTTTATATAACTAAACTGTCTAAGCCAAAAAATTTATGAAAATAAGTCATAAATCTGCTTTATTATATTTTGTCAACTTAGATTAGCTTAACTATATAACCAAATAATTTTTTGAGTTATGCATAACATAACATATTTTTACACATTTTTTACATTAATAGTTTTTTTCCTAGTTACCACTGATTCTCTAACAATTATTTAAAAAGTTCTTAATCATTTTTTTGTTGGATTGTTTTTTTTAATACATTTTTTATACTTAAACTGATAACTTTTTTATTATATATCTTTGTTCACTGGAACTTATTATTTTAACTTATTATTTATTCATCATGAATTTTATTTCAAATTATCGAATGTAATAAAATACTTAATTTTACTTTGAATTAGCCAAAGATTTTTTAGGAGCCGAACATTTAAATCATAATATCCAGAATTAATATAATATTTAAATTTTGTTTTATTTAAACTTGACTTGTTATTGATAAAATATAAAGATGACATTGTTACGAAAAATAGGAAACACGAATTAAAAATTTTTATTTGTTTGTTACAGTTAATTTTAAATGTTAATAGTAAAATATTTATTGATTTGATGTAAAGCATTGTTTCAATATCATCACTTTAACATAAAAATCATTATATGTATAGGTTATGACTGATCCTGAATTAGCAGCAAAAAGAAAAATAGCAAAACAAACAAAAAAGAAAATGAGTAAAAAACGTAAGATAGAAAAAGTCAGACAAAAAAATATAAAAACAAGAATAAAAAAAGATTTGGACCTCGAAGATTGTTAAATTCTGCTTAATTGACAATTTTTTTAGTAAAAATGTGATTTACTGTTGATATTTAAAATTATTTTGTCTTTTGTTATTTTATATAAAATAACACAATAAAAAATAGAATAAAATTTTTAATTTTATTTTTAATTTAATAGAATCTTTACATCATTATTTTTTAGTACTGTAATGTTACTGCTGTTTCATTAGAATACTTTTTTAAAAAACAAGCTTTGACCATCTCAGATAAATTTGCTTAAACTAGATCAATAATGTAAGATATCTCCTCAAATGTAGTATGATTTATGATTGATTTTATCAAAAATATCTATTGAGAAAAACATAATTTCTTCTACATAGTAAAATNATACTACATTTGATTTATGATTGATTTTATCAAAAATATCTATTGAGAAAAACATAATTTCTTCTACATAGTTAAATTAACTAATCAAATATGTATAGATATTGTCCCTGTGGATAAGGTATAAGAATACTTTAACAGCCCCTCTGCCAGTTGTAANTGTAGTATGATTTATGATTGATTTTATCAAAAATATCTATTGAGAAAAACATAATTTCTTCTACATAGTAAAATTAACTAATCAAATATGTATAGATATTGTCCCTGTGGATAAGGTATAAGAATACTTTAACAGCCCCTCTGCCAGTTGTAAGAAATGGCTAATGAGACTGTGTCAGATCGACAGCTGTCATAAAATTTTGTCAAAAAGTATGAGGAGTCTTGAACAAAACTTAGGCAGATTGACCCATCTCGGACTTATGCGGGGACAAAAGGGTTGTTTTTGAATACAATATGAGGACAGCTGATATGGGCGTAGATGATGTGGGAGTCATTTTAAGTGGAAGTTTAGGATAAGGGTGGCTGACCCCTAGTAGTTGGGATTAAGGCAAGGAAAAAAAAGAAAAATATGAAGATATTGATATTTTTAACTTAATATATTTTAATTCTGTATAATTTTGTATGTATATTGTTATTACAATTGAAATGTGTATCAGTACCCATTGTATATTGTGCATATACCCTTTTTGGTTTATTATACTCATGATATAGTTATAAGAAATTTGAATTAATATTTCACTGTGATTTTACTGCGCTCCTAAAAAAATTTTGTTACTATTACTTTAAGTTTTGAATTATATCTAACGGCATAGTCGAAGTTGCTCGAGAAATGTAATGACAAATAATAGTCTCTCACATTAGTTTAATACAATTATATTAAATGTCATTATAAGTTCCTGGAACTAGAATTTGATATTTATGCTAAAATATTTATTTCAATATTTACAATTATTTTCAATAAGAATATAAATTTATGTTACAAAATTTTAAATTAAATATTATGGAAGAATAATTCAGATTTTTATAAAAATTTGTGTAACACAGTGATGCGAAATTTAGGCAAACTATTTTTAANTGTTATTATATTTGTAATAGGCTTCACCCTTAATTATGTAATTTAAAAGTTGTATTAAGTTAATGTTAATAGGAGTTCTGTCATTGAACGGACTCTACGTAAGACTTTAGAAGCTTTTTTTTTGTATACATTGTTTTATCTTAAATATGTATTATATGTTATATACAGATTGTATTTTATTTATAAATAAATAAAAAAGAAATTATAAATTGATTATTTTCAATAATTAATAATAATGTTTGGGCACAAATCTTATATTCTGTATCATTTCACAATGGTCACGTTAAATGCATTGAATACTGTTATATTATACAGTTTTATAACATTTAATAAAATGAAAATATTTTAACAAGAATTATTATATTTTTCTGGAAAGACTTAAGTTATAAGTTATTTATTTATTTTTTAATAAACCTTAGAAAATTGTTGATATTATATCTAAACTAAGATAGTTAAAAAATTTAAATACNAAGTTCCTGGAACTAGAATTTGATATTTATGCTAAAATATTTATTTCAATATTTACAATTATTTTCAATAAGAATATAAATTTATGTTACAAAATTTTAAATTAAATATTATGGAAGAATAATTCAGATTTTTATAAAAATTTGTGTAACACAGTGATGCGAAATTTAGGCAAACTATTTTTAATACTCAAAAATTATATTATTACATTTTAATTAGGATGTGATTTAAAACAGTTTGTATAAAGGCAGATTGTAAGTAGTTTGTTTGAAACTTTTATTAAGTATTATATTTTATAGATGTTTTAATAATGAACACAAATTCTATCTTACAAAAAAGGACTACTTTACCTCCTTTAAAAAGTGGAGACTCGAACTGGGCTATAAATGACTACGACAGAGCCGTTCTATTTGGGTCGCATCTCAGCCAAGTTTTTAAACCTACCGACATTCCATCCTCGTATAGACCAATAAGTCTTTCGTCCTTATTATCAAAAGTTTGTGAAAAACTAATTTTAAAGAGAGTGAATGTAATAATTAAAGAAAATAATGTTATTCTAAATAATCAATTTGGTTTTCGAAGAAAACACTCCACAATATATCAAGTACACCTTTTGGTTCATTTCCTCTAGTTTGAAAAACAAACTTTACTGTTCTTCTGTAATGCTTGACATCTCACAAGAGTTTGATAGAGTCTGATATCCAAGACTTTTACTCAAACTTCGTAACACTCTTCTGCCTTCCTATTTTCTTTTATATAAGTCCTGTCTGGAAGACCGCACCTTTGCGACAAAAATCGGCCTAGAAATTTTCCCTTTACATCTAATAAAATCTAGCGTTCCCCAAGATACAATATCCTCTCCTTTGCTATTTAATATTTATACTGTTGACCAACCAACAACTGTCAATACCCAGATGGCAGACTATGCGGATGACAAAATACTTATTTCAATTCATGAAAACCATAACATTGCTGCTGCTCAACTACAATTACATCTTAATTGCATGTATGACTAATGCCAGATTTGGCGAGTTATGCTAAACGAAAATAAATCCTCTTATATTACTTTTACTCTTTGTCATAACAATCCTCCCCAAGCTTTTATTTATAACAACTCTATTCCTTCTTCAAATAAAGTTCAATATTTTGGCCGTATCGTCAACCGTAAACTTAACTGGTCGACACACATTCATGCAAAAATAATAAGTGTAAACCAACGGCTTAGAATACTCCAATCATTACTCCGCATAAACGCCCAAAACAAACTTGCACATTAAACTCATAATATATAAAAGCTTTATCAAACCATTGTGAACGTACGGTATTGAGCTATGGGGAGCAGCAATAAAATCAAATATTAACAAAATTCAAGTCTTACAATACGAATGCCTTCGTAGAATTCTTAATGCCCCATCCTCCTATATATCAAACGAAACAATTCATAAAGACCTCCACACTCCTACTGTAAAACAAACTGCTATCTCTCGTTATAAACACTTTCAAAATCATCCAAATCCTCTTATTAAGAATTTATCCTCATTCTCTATCCCAGATAACCCTCCTCGCCGACTTATAAAATCCTGGTGTGGAGACCTCATTTTGTTATAAATATGTTATTATATTTGTAATAGGCTTCACCCTTAATTATGTAATTTAAAAGTTGTATTAAGTTAATGCTAATAGGAGTTCTGTCATTGAACGGACTCTACGTAAGACTTTAGAAGCTTTTTTTTTGTATACATTGTTTTATCTTAAATATGTATTATATGTTATATACAGATTGTATTTTATTTATAAATAAATAAAAAAGAAATTATAAATTGATTATTTTCAATAATTAATAATAATGTTTGGGCACAAATCTTATATTCTGTATCATTTCACAATGGTCACATTAAATGCATTGAATACTGTTATATTATACAGTTTTATAACATTTAATAAAATGAAAATATTTTAACAAGAATTATTATATTTTTCTGGAAAGACTTAAGTTATAAGTTATTTATTTATTTTTTAATAAACCTTAGAAAATTGTTGATATTATATCTAAACTAAGATAGTTAAAAAATTTAAATACATATAAAAAAACGCATACATTTTAGCAAAACAAAGAAGTGTTTATAAAATTGTTAAGCCGTGGAAAGCTGATTCATTCTCACGAGCCTTATTTGTTTATTAACGAACTCAATACTTATAGTATTTTAAGTAGTGGACAGTACTAAAATAATAATTATATATAAGTTAAACAGTATGTCCGCACGCGAGCCCGTATGATATAATGCTGGTTATTTATCAGAAAATAAATCGACCGGTCACTTTATTGCTATTAAAACTATAAACTTTCTTTGATAAACCGCAACCATTTAATTATCATAAAACATAAAAGTGTTAAAATTTATAAGGCAATAGAAATGTATATATTTAAGAAGCCCTAGAAATCTATGACTTCTTATATTTTAAACACTTTTATAGCTACTTATATTTTATTCATTTCTATGGCATAATATATTTTATGCATTTCTATGGTTTTCTAAATTAAAAACACTTCTAAAGCTTTTTAAATTTAAAAATTTCTATGGTTTTTAAATTTAAATATTTCTATGGCTTCCTAAATGTATACATTTTTATGGCTTTTTAAATTTAAACATTTCTGTGGCTTCTTATATTTTATGCATTTTTATGATTTCTTAAATTTTAAACACTTTTAAAGCTTTTTAAATTTACACATTTGTATGGCTTCATATATTTAGATACTTCTATGACTTTTTATATTTTAGGCACTTCTATTGCTCCAGATATTTATACATTTCTGTGGGTTTTTATATTTATACATTTCTATGGCGTATTATATTTTTGCATTTTTATGGTTTCATATATTTTAATTATTTCTATGGCTTCATATATGTATAAATTTCTATGACTTATTATATTTTAAACACTTTTATGGCTACTTATATTTTATACATTTCTATGGTTTCTTATATTTTATGAATTTCTATGGCTTCTTATTTTCTTCTTCTTTTTCTTCGCCTTAATCACAACTACTTGGGGGTCGACCAACCTTATCCTTAACATTCACCTAACACGATCTCCCACATCATCTGCCCTTAAATCAGCCGTCCTCATATCGCATTCTATTACATCCATCCATCTCTTTTTTGGTCTTCCTCTACCTTTTCTTCCTTCAACATTCATTTCAATAACTACATAAACCACTCAATTACTTTT